GCAACAGTGTGTAGTGCGAGAGTCAATGAATAGGAAAGTTCGTGGACCGGATTCGTGACAGAGCCCCCCCCCCCCCCCCCCACGAGGCCTGGGAATGCCGGGGGAGGGGAGATGCTTTCCTCCTTCACATTCACATGGACCTCGTGCTGGAAAGCAAGCCTTAGGTCAGTCGGGTGGGTAACTATGGCAACCGGAGCCCGTCCCAGCACACCACAGTCCTGACGGAGAGATGCAGAAAGCATTGTGAACGCATGTGTACATAAACTTACTAGACATAACTCTTTAAAACAGGTTATTTTTAGGTTCCACGCTTCAGCATCTCGCTCACTCACATGGATCCTGCGCAGTCATAAATGAAGCAATAATTAACTCTTGCCTCTGGTTACTCACTTTAGTGCATGAAACTGGGCTCATTGTGTTCTTAGTAGACTTGGGTGACCTTTGAAAGATGAAATGAACCCAAAATTGTAGAATAACTAGTTAGGCTTTTATATAGAATGTTTTTTTTTCACAAGAATATTCAAAACACTTCTCTGATTAGCACTGTATTCTTGTTATAAAAGTACTAGACAAATAGCCAGGCTGGGCTAATAGACGAGTTTGGGTGGTATTTCACCCCCAAAATTTTATGAAATTAAGTCGGTTTTTAAATGGGTTGCATTGTGATATTATTTTCAAGCCAATTAAAGCCGATTCTCATTACCGTAATGCAAAAATGTCATTACCTTCTTGAAAAAAGAACAAGAATGTAATTTTTAAAATGGTTAAGTATTAAGTATTTAAGCATCCATATTTTAATTGAAACTACCAAAAATAAATACTTAAAAATCCCAGACAAATTACGGTAATGAGGAAAACGCCCTTAATTGTTACGAAAATAATGTCAAAATGTGAAAAAAAATAAGGAACAAATAAGAAATTATATTTTGCATAAAGAAAATGAAGCCTAGTTTTAAATTGTTTGCATCGTGACATTATTTTCAGGGTCATTAAAGCACATTTCCTCCCTAAATTCTCATTACCGTAATGTAAAAAATCATTACCATAATGGCAAAGAACAGGAATGTATTTCTTATTATGTAAAGTTATACGCATATGCAGATTTTAAATTTTAAAAAACAAAAATAAATACTTAATCCTGGACAAATTATGGCAATGAGGAAAATACCCTTAATTATCAGCAAAATAATGTCACCATGCGAAAAAAGAAAGAAAGAAGAAATTACATTTCGCATAAAGAAAATGAAGCCTGGTTTTAGATTGTTTGCATTTTGGATTTATTTTCAGGGCAATTAAAGCACATTTGTCCCCCACATACTCGTTACTGTAATATAAAAAAGTCATTACCATAATGAAAAAAAATTCAAGAATATAAATTGTGTATTTAAATAAAATAAAAAAACATGGTAATGAAGTAAAATGTTCTTAGTTGTCAAGAAAAATTCACAATGCAAAAAAAGACAAACAAATAAGAAATTATATTTTGCATAAAGACAATGAAGAATATTTTTAGATGGTTTAGATAGCATTTTTTCCAAGGCAATTAAAGCAGATTTTCCTCCCACATTCTCATTACTGTAGTGCAAAAAAAGTGGTTACCACAATAGAAAAAAAAAAATCAAGAATATATTATTCAAATTGTATATATATTATAATGGTATTTATCCTAAAATAGGCTTCATTTTCTTTCTACAAAATATTACTTGTCACTCAACTGTAGGATAACGTGTAGTTTACAATGTGAATGACATTCGCTTAGTTTTTAAGGTGGTAAACTACTAAAGCTGTGGATTCCTTCTTAATGGTTTTGTGCCGAACCTTCAATAAACTTTTCAAAGTGTACGAAAGCCTAACAAACTTCTTAAATGTTGGCGTACATGTAGCCTTGATTATGTTCTATTATTGTATGTACATTTGTGAAGTATATTGTATTTTCTTAAGTAGATTTTGCACATTGTGTCCTTCTCACTGTTGAATGCTCATCTACACTCATAAGGGTGTTTTTCTTAAACGTTATTAGAACGTGTTGCCTGAAGCCAAAGAAAGCAGCACAGATAGTGACATGTTACCAGCTAAATGTTGCGTTATTGTGAAATGTTTGTTTCAGTGTTGTGAAATGTCTTCATTTGTGCATATATTTTTGATATCACTGATTCTTTTTCAGTTTTTTGGACATTTAACGCCAAATATTGTTTCTAACGTCTGTCAGTCATACAGTAGGGTGTATTAAAGACTTTTTAAATAAAATGTCTGTGAAAATGCTAAGCACTTGTTCTTTTGTTTTGTAGAGCGAGGATTGGATTAGCGGATTAGCATGACTAGGATCCACTGAATGACGATGAATGTCTCGCACCTTTCTTAACTTGCTAGATATGCTGGAATTCTGAAATTGTCGGTCACACCCAGTCGATTTTAACCACAGCGATTTTGAGCTGCACCAGAAACTGGAGTGTAAAGTTCAATTTCTCTGCGCAAACTTTACGCCTTCATGTTGCTATTTTAGCTCAGAGATGGTCTTCTTCTGACATGACTCTGGAAAAGGTGTGTGTACATGTCATGGCACCAGCCTCGGTCCACACATTCCCGGGCAGGTGTATTTAGTGCAAATGCCAACGAATGGCACTGAGACTCCAGACTGCGATCCTTTGCCCAGATTGTAGGGAAGAGATCTGTCTGTTGAAACAAAGAGACATAAATGCAGTCAAACTATTGTAGTGAGCATTTATTGCAAAAACACAATTTCTTTCAAATGAATTTTGGAGAAACTGACCAGATGTTGGTAAGTTTCATCCAGAGGCAAAACCCACTTCTGAGGGTCGTAGGACCACTAATCAAATGACAACGCCTTGTTCTCTCACCCTCAGGCCATCCAAGATGTAGATGAGTTTGTTTCTTGATCAGAACAGATTTGGAGAAATGTAGCATTCCATCACTTGCTCACTAATGGATCCTCTGCAGTGAATGGGTGCCATCAGAATGAGTCCAAACAGCTGATAAAAACATCACAATAATCCACACAACATATTTTTTAAACGGTGCTTGATCTGTGCATATTTCTCTCCTGATTCAGACAAGACAACTTTTATGAATAGAGGACTCGTATTTTGGCCAAAAGTAACATTTAAAGTGAAAAACCTCTTAATGATGGAATTTTCTTTCTTACAAACATGCAGCTTTTCACTTCACAAGACATTAATTGATGGACTGGAGTGGTGTGGATTATTATGGTGTTTTTATCAGCTGTTTGGACTCTTATTCTCACGGCACCCATTCACTCCAGAGGATCCACTGGTGAGCAAGTGATGAAATTCTAAACATCTCCCAATTCTTTTTTGTTGATGAAACAAACTCGTCTACATCTTGGATGGCCTGAGGGTGAGTATATTCTCAGCAAATTTTCTTTTTTGGGTGAACTATACCTTTATGATATCAACGTTGAGTGATGAAATCAAACATTCCTATTACATCTTAAGCAATTCAGTCATTTCCAAACCAAATCCATGGCCGAGCTCCAAGAGACTGGTTGAAAAAGACATTGATACAGAAAGTAATTGCTGGCCTGATGCCCGCCAGACACTCTTCAATAAGTTATGCATGTGGAGGTCAAAAGCCACGGGTCTGTGCACTAATAGAGCCGATCAGAGATGCCAGATGGGAGAAATCCCTAAAAGCAGCTGGACACAATCCCATGGGGAAGAAAACTGGGTTTTCCAGACAGATGTCTTTGTAAAAATGATTTTGCAACTACTGAAACCTTTGCGATAAATAGCATGACGGTTTAAACTAGAACAGAAAAGTTTGACTAATTTTGAAGTTGGCTTAAAAAGCCTTGCGAAGTTTAATGGTTGAGGTAACTGTAATACTTTTAAATTGACTAAATATGATAAAACCGAGGATAAACAGCAAAGACCTTTTTCAGTCCGTTTTATTTGACAAAAATAGGTTATCCAAAGCATATATATTTATATATTGCATTGCTGGCTTTTGTGTACTGGAAACACTGGAAAAAGGCAGCAAAAAACGAACTTCATTCATCACAAGCACAAGTGTATTCAAGCTGAGCATGTCGACCCGCTAAGTGCTTCAGGTGTGAGCGCAGATGGGAAGCGGCATCTGAATGAATGCGGCGAAACACAAAAAAGGCACAGGGATCCGGAGACATCTTCCTATCAAAGGGGTCCTGGCAGGATGTGTGCGGGCGCTAGCGTGTTTTTGTGAGACTCCTCAAAAGCTCCATTGTCATGCAAAACGAAAAACCGTCGAATTCAAAAAGATTCCGCCGGCGATGCAATTAATACGCATAAATAGACATTTGAATCTTGGCAGAAGACAAAAGGACTAGCCAGTGCGGTCTGGAAAGGAAGGACCGCCACAGCATGGACAGAAAGAGGAGGCGGTTGGTGTACTCCGCTTCAGTGTGTGTAGTTGGTTAACGCTGGTCGTAACCCTGAGACGAAAGGGTGCATTTGGGTGGAACGGACACTAAGGGGGGGGAACAGGGGTTGAAGCCCCCCTTCACCTCAATACTGGCGTGTGTCTGCCAGGCGGATGTGTTCAGCTGGGGTGCCTCCAGGAACACAAAGATCCTGCATTAGTTAACAATCAGCTTCCAATGGTTGCTCCCCATGGGGATCTTACCTCAAAGGTTTGGGCCAGAAGCGTCCTTTCCAACCGTCCACCTCCTCAGAATCTCTAATCACAACTAAATCAATGTTATTACACACTCCAGGAACCTCCGGCAAAGCACATCTTGTTTCTTATGCTCAGAAAAAATTAGGCCCTTCAGGCTCTATTCAAGCTGAGGTTTATTGCCCAACCAACACAGCAACTCCCATACCTTAAGAAATGCAAGAAATGTGTTGTTGTCGACTCTGACAGACAAGTCAAAGCAACATGTAGGTGAAAAGTGGCCATAAACAGATGCAATTCAGGCCATCTTTGACCACAGGCAGCTCAAAGTGCTGACGCCTAGGTGGGTACAGGTACTTCCCTTTAGTCTAGTCGAGATGTGATCCGTCAGGAACGTTAATGGTTTTAATGGTTCCTCAAAGACCTGTGGTGTAACTGGAGAGAGCCACCACACTATGGCATAAACAGCATTTAGACAGACCTCAAGGTGTGTGAAGCAACAGTGTGATGATTTATGAAATTATTCCCTTTATTAAAATGTGTTACATAACTTTAGAAGTGACATGGTAACCCATACTCAGAATTTGTGATCTGCATTTACGGAGCAGTGGCCAGACATTTTTAGCTGCAGTGCCCAGGGAGCAACTGGGGTTCAGTGCCTTGCTCAAGGGCACCTCAGTGGGTATTGAAGGTGGAAGGTCACTCCCCTACCAACAATTCCTGCCGGTACTGAGACTTGAACCCACAACCTTCGGGTTACAAGCCCAGCTCTCTAGGCCACAACTACCCCCAACTGTATTGTTTGTATTGTTCTCCAATACAAACCTTGATAGTGGCTTGACGAAGTCTGAAGTTAGACAGACAGATAGATAGGAATGAGATAAGTATATGTACAGTTTGTTGTATAACAGTAAAAGAATGAAGAACTTTATCTGATCTGTATCTCTGTGGCCATAAACACTGACCCAAGTAACCCAGAATGTTCAAAAATGCTTAAATGTGTTCTTGCCCATGTTAATGGATGATGAGAACTCGGGACAGGAAGCATAACTGACACGTTTTAGGTTCTCCTGGAGCGCACACATAAATCTTCCCTCAGTAAAATGCACATCACTCTGTATTAAACACAAAGAGATGGGAGCCTCCATCCGCCTTGCCAAAACATCTTTGTCTAGATGCCATAAAACAAGCCAGTTATTTGTGAAAACAATAGTGCACAGAAATCTGAGTCTCTAGAATTGAGGCAAGAGACTTCTGAGTGTTCCGCCAGAAACGGCCAGCGGAGAGGAACAGCGTTTTGCGGAAGGGGGGGGGGACGATAATCACTGTTTACACAATGGCGTAATTACACCAAACAGCAGGGGGGTGGCTGGGAGGGGCGGCGTGGACAGAAGCTTCGCTGACAGATCTAACAGTGCTCTGATTAACAGTGAATGTTATTATGCGGCGGCAAGCTTTGATGCTCAGCCTTGTGCAGT